GGCAGTCGCGTGAACAGCGAACGGCAAAAACAGGGGACAGCAAAGCCAAAATTGCAAACAAAAGGTAAAATTAAATATAATTAATATTGAGCAAAAATAAAACAAACAGAAATTGTTGTGCACGACTTATTCTCTGAAATAAACCATTTAATTTAAACAAATGCAAAAAAACAAGCAACACAAGAGTCGCAGCAGGTCGGCAGGCGCGGCAGGTCGAGGTGGTAACAGGAGAGATCTCTATGGGTTGGTGCTTTCGCATTGGTTTCGGGTTACGTCTGCCTTCCCATACTACTCAACGGTTATAAGCCAATTAAACAAATCATTTTACTTCCAATTAAATCTAGATCCATCTCCAAAAACGGTTTTTATGGGGGGATACAGCGGGGAGCCCCCCCCTCCCTCCTGCTCATTGCGGGGGGTGCTGTAGCCCCCTTCCGGTGCTCTACGACTGGGCTTTTTTGCCCTGTGACGGCCTTCGTGTGCCCTTTAGCCGTGGATCGTGTTATGGCTTAGTGCCGCATGCAGACAGCGCAAGCAGCGGCAATGATATATGGCGGCTTCCTTGGTGTTTGCAAGCGTCTCCAGAGCCAGTGGCTTGGTTGTGGTGGCGGTCTGAACGAAGGGTCGATGCTGGTGTTTGCACAGGCAATGAAGCATCAATTCTCCTCCCTAAACCAAAATAATAATTAATTAATCTAGTAAGTTGTTAAAATGCAAACAAACACCGTGGATATACCCCAGCTAATCTCGAAGAAAAGTTGAACAGAAGTTCTAGGTCCTACGGTTCAGGGTTTAGGGCTTCGGGTTTTATGGTTTGGCAATTGAAACAGGATCTAAAGCCCGATCCGCCTGAAACTGTGTTTTGAATTTCTGCTGGAGTGCGGGCTGGTTGCAGACGGCCAATGAATGGGGTAGCGTATACCTGCAGTGTTAATCTGTGCGGGGGAGTGGTGCTTGGATATGCATACCTAGGCCCATCATGAGGTGCAGCAGAGTGAACACTTGGGAAGAAAGTCTTGAAAAAAACTGCTGATAATCTCCTCTCCATTCTTTAAATACCCCATACACGGAGGTACAATGGCCTGAGACTGATGTTGAGAGGGGGTGACCTCTAGCGAGTTGCAATAAACCCTGCTGCTGCCTCTTGCAGAGCGGTTGTAGGGTAGAGCATAAGCAGCTGCACTGATTTTCCCAGCTAGTTTGTTAAATTAGGATGTGGACTTTTTTTTCTCTCAAAAGCATTTACTTCTTGCTGAGGAGCCGCCTGTACAACTCTGCGCCGTTGAGCTCAAGGCGGCAGCGCAGAGTGTAATGACCTCAGCGGGTCGACTTCTCTTGACCCCAGGCAGGTTAGGCGACTCTATATCTAGATTGTGCGTTGTCCGGAAACATTAAGCCAAAACTCAGTTCGGGTCAAACGTATTTCAACGTCTTTCGTGATCAAAGAACTCATTTTCCACCCGTGGGACGCGCCCCTGGCCCTCTGCAGGGCCTCATGGGCCGCCGTCCGCTGGGTGCGGCCGACTCGCGCCGCCCTGTGTCGGCCTCTGTTCCTGTCTGATATCGGCTACGAGCCTTGTGTGCCGAGTCTACTATTTAGGTTAGACTCAATTAACTCTCTTTGATAGTTTCCGGCGTACTTGGTTCGTCCTCGCTCCTTACTCCCTATAATTACCTATCGTTATTAATTGCAGCTACTTGTAGTGCTAGCGCCCTACAACTTCCCCCCTCCGGTCGAAAATTTTGGTCCCTGCGGCGTGGACGTTCTTGCGTTCGCTTCCCGCCCTACACGGTGGTGTCTCCTTTACTCCCATTATTGGTACGACGTGCCCGATCCAACACCCGCATGATTACTTTGCTCACTATGATACTAGCGTCCCCTTCCCATCGTTCGCCTCGTTCCCTAGCGTT